ACTACATAGAAAAGCCTGTATAGAAAGTCTGGACTCCAAATACCTCCCAGGCCCCACATCAGACCCTGAACCAGGTCCTCGAGTTTCTTTGTAAAAATCACAGGGGAGGCTCTGGCTTGGTAAGAGCTGACTAACAGTCAGGTACCAGGAACCCCACCTTCAGAGAGCTGAGGATGGCTAGTCACCCAGGTGGCCAAAGTTAAGCTCTCAATAAAAGTCCCTGCAACTGTCCTTTCTAGTTGGGCATCACAGCTGCTTCTTTGGGAGAGATCTATCCCCTATTTGCATCCTAGGGTAGGAGGCCAACAAGGCAAGGGTGAGGCCACAGCTGCCTTCTCCTCCACAGAGAGCCTAACTAACAGAGGAATGGCCTGTGTAAATGCCAGGGGCTAACCAGGACTTCTGTCAAGAGGGACAGAGCCTGTCCCATCAAGAAAGAGGTGACCAGATGGTCACAGTACTGAGAAAAAAAAAATAACAGTTGAATGCCCTAAATAGGCCATGTATATCATGCCCCACCCCCTACTCTGCAAGGCTCAGGGAACATCACAAAAGCAGAAAGACCCTAAGAGCTGAGTGAGGGATGGAGTATTGTGGAATGCTGTCTTCTGAGTACAGCATGGATGTTGTACTCTCTTGCTAATTCATAACAGCTATGACTACCACATAAGACCTGGATTGAAAGAAGGCCCCAAATCTATGAAAGTTAGCCCCAAGACCCTTGTGTGTGTGTGTATGTATGTGTGCACACATGTGTGCGTGCGTGCGCATGACTGTAAGGCCTGTCAAACTGTCATGGAAAAGAGAAGGTTCACAAGGCTCTGTCTCTCCCTTACACAGGTAGTTAATGGAGGCTGTTGGAAAGAGAGAGACGTTATCTTCAATGGTATAGCACTTGAAAGTTACCTAGGCTCCTTTAAATAGCCCTTCACCCATGTCTCCATTATTTTGTTTCATTTTTAACCTTTATTTTTGTTTTGCATGTATGAGTGTTTTTCTGCATGTATGTCTGTGTACCACATGTATGCAGTGTCTGAAGAAGCCAGAAAATGGAATTGGATCCTCTGGAAACTAAATGAATGTGAGGTGAAAATTGGGTGCTGGGAACCAAACCCAGGTCCTCTGGAAGAGCAGCCAGTGCTATTCACTGCTGAACCATCTCCCCAGCCACTTCACCCATGCCTCTGTAAGCAACCCAAGTGAAGGGTCATATACATAAAAAAAGTCATCAGAACAGATGGGGACTAGTTGGAGAGAGGAAGGGTATTAGTGGGAGTAGGACAGAGTAGAGGATGAATGTGAACAGAACACATCATCATAATGGAAATCATATCTATGTCCCCAAAGACCAGAGGGCCATGGCTGGCTGCTTCTGGGGTGACTTCTGCTCTTGGGAGTGACATATTTTTAAGTTCCATTTCTTTCTTCTTCTTTCTTTCCTTATTATTTTATTTTAAATATTTATTTATTTATTATGTATACAATGTTGTGCCTGCATGTACACCTGCATGCCAGAAGAGGGCACCAGATCTCATCATAGATGGTTGTGAGCCACCATGTGGTTGCTGGGAATTGAACTCAGGACCTCTGGAGGAGCAGTCAGTGCCCTTAAACTCTGAGCCATCTCTCCAGCCCACTTATTATTTTATAATAATAATAATAATAATAATAGTTTGGGTTTTCAAGATAGGGTTTCTCTGTGTAGACCAGGCTGGCCTTGCACTCAGAGATCCATCTGCCTCTGCCTTCTGAATGCTGGAACTAAAGGTGTGTGCCACCATGCCTGACTTAAATACATTGGGGGGGGGGGAGGATAAAGAGTATGTGTGGGTGTCAGAGGCTAACTTGCAGGAGTCCGTTCTCTACTTCCACTATGTGGATTCCAGGAACTGAATTGAGGTTATTAGGCAGCAAGCACCTTCACTCACTGGCCCTCCTGGGATAATCTCTGTTCCTGAGGCACCCCAGGATAGAATGTATGCCCCCCGCCAGCCACTCCACACAGACATCCCACCCCTCCCCCTACCCTGCCCAGACAGCTGCCATGCTCCCTGACGAAGCCGTCTGCTTTGAGAGAATTCCATCTTTCTCCTGTCCATCTGTCAGCTAAGAATCTGGGAAGACTGGCACCGGCTTCCTGGCTCAGGGATGGCTGAATCCAAAGGTGGGAGGGGGTCTGGCTCAGTGCCCCTGCTGGCTCTGACTGAATTACCCCAACCCCCAAGTCACCCAGTCATTGAGCTGCTCCCATTCAGCAAGGGGCCTGCTACACTTCCAGAGAACCTGGTCTCTTTAGTCTCTTAACTTCCCAGAGGAGGTTATAAATGTCGAAGAGCAATGTAGTAGTTTTGTCTTTCTGTAGGGGCAGAGTCATCTTCTCCAGGCCTCCCTGCTGTCAGCCCTAGGTGCTTGAATCCACTTTTTCTTCTTAGGCCTTCTACAGAAGCTCTCTGAGGGGATCCAGATGACCTTTTGGATTGGGAGTTGGAGCCTTAGCAAGCCTGCCCCTCCTACTGCTGTAAGGCTCTGACCTAGTTCTGAGGCTCCTACACCCTAACTGAATGAAAGAAAAAGTCCTCTGCCTTTAAACTGCTTCCCAGTCCTCCTTGCTTCTCTCTTCTTTTTGCATTTGTTTGTTTAGAGTTTTCAAGTTTACTCCATCTATAGACCAGGATGACCTCAAACAAAGAGATCTACTTGCCTCTGCCTCTTGAGTGCTGGGATTAAAGGCCTGCACCATCACAGCCCGATTTTTTGTTTGTTTGTTTTTGTTTTTCAAAACAAGTTTTCTCTGTGTAGCCCGGGCTGTCCTGCAGCTTACTCTGTAGACCAGGCTGGCCTCGAACTCATAAAGATCCACCTGCTCCTGCCTCCCAAGTGCTGGGATTAAAGGCATGGGTCACCCACCACTCAGTGATTCCCTTTCCTTTGTGAGGATTCCTTGACAAGTGGCCCATGACCTTTCACAGACAGAGCTGTGATAGCAGAAACAAAATACTTTCACCTTGGTGGGGCCAGCTCTGTCCAAAGCCACAGACTGGCCCTCCTGTGATCAGAAGTATGTGACTTGAGTCCTTCATGATCCACATGTCCCCCCCCCCCAGCAGGTCTTCCTGGGCCAGCAGTAACTTCCTGTTGGACCACAAAAGCCAGACAAAGCCAAAGGCCTGCTGAGGTAGCAGCACACATAAGGGCTGTGCTCAAACGCAAGAAGCTGATACAAAATTTCTGAACATAGCCAGATTTTGTTAGAAGCTTCAAGGCCACAGGGTCAGAGCAGGGGCAGGCTGCAGAGGACAGACCCTGGTGGCACTTTACAGCCTTCTCTTTTTCAGGAAGCCAGGATGACTGGCATTTGACATGAACACCTAAGTTCTTACTAAGATAAAACCTGCCTCACATCAATGCTCTTTGACCTCCATGAGGTCACCTGGCCCTTATTTATCTTTGCACCTGGGGGCCTTGGTATCCCTACTAAGTGGTGGTCTTAGGGCCTTCTGAGTACCCATCCGTTAGCTCCTTCCAGTTCCTTGACAGCCAGGGTGCAGCATGGCTAAGAACCCACCAGCCTGGGGCTGGAGAGATAACTCAGTGGTTAAGAACATTAACTGCTCTTCCAGAGGAGCTGGGTTCACATGCTAGCACCCACACGACAGCTCACATCTTTCCATAACATACATGCAGGCAGAACAACAATGTATATAAAATAAAAATAAATAAATTAAAAGTAAAAATAAAAAAAGAATCCTCCAGCCCAAGTGGATGAAGACTGGGCGGTAGTGGTTGTAGCAGGGTTGGGGATTTTGGAGCCAGAGGAGAATGTGTCTTGAGATGGTAATATGTCTCTAATGGTGCCTCCCCCCCCCCCCCCCGCCGAAGATGGGCATGGACCCACTAACTCTGGTCCAAGCTGCGCTTGGTGGTAGGATGTGAAAGGGGGGACAGTGTGTGGCAGCTTCCATAGGAGATGGCTCTGGATAACCCTAAACCAGTACACTACCTCAGACCGGGGACTATTGTTCAGGTTCTTCTATCCGAAAGGATAGAAAACAGAAAATGATTGAGCTGGGTGGGGGTGGTATATGCCTTTAATCCCAATGCTTGGGAGGCAGAGGCAGGTGGATCTCTGAGTTCAAGGCCAGCCTCACCTACAGAGTGAGTTCCAGAACAACGGAGGCCACACAGAGAAACCCTGTCTAAGAAAGAAGAGGAAGAAGAGGAGGCAGAGGAGGGGTGGAGAAGGAGGGAGTGGAGGAGGAGAAGAGTAACCATGCTGTGTTGGATAGGGCTCCAGGACACCTTTTTCTGAGACATGCACATGGCACAGTCCTACCAGCTCCTGACAAGACAAAAAGCCTGTTGAGCTAGGGAATCTATTCTAACCTCCATAGAGCAGGTGGTATAAAGCAATAAAAAGGGAATCAGAGACTGGGATGGGCTCCTATCAGGTAACCAAAAGTGGCCACAGGGAAACCCGCACAGGCTGCAATGAGCCATGGGGTTAGGGAGGTGGTTATCTTTCATAGCGGGATACACATAGCTAGGGTTCAAAGAAAGACCCTAGGGGCTGCTTCCAGGTCCCTCTTCAGAGGCTCACGTAAAAGCCAGATGCCTGCTCACCCCCTTCCCCAAGGGCCCAGGGTGAGCAAGTACTTGAAGGCAGTGAAAACAAGAACAATTACCAGGCCCCAAACCAGAACCCCAGCCCTGATAAGCTCTACCCACTTGCAGTTGTCCCTCTGCCCACTTGGGGGCAGGCCTGGCCAAGGGGAGAGAATAGAGGAAGCCACACATCCAGAAGCGGGCAGGTGGGCCAGGTGGAGAGGAAGAACCATTTTGCGGACAATAAATTGGATAAAACCATAAGTCCGTTTGGGCAGTGGCACACTCCTGTAATCTCTCAAACAGGAACAGGTAGCCCACGTTCTTCCACAGCCAAATCTATCCCTTCTCTCCAATACCTTCACCCAATCCCACTGGTCAAGCAAAGTTCAAGAGAGTTGGGTTTGAATTGACTTTATTATTCTGTAAATGTGAACTTTACAAAGCGCTTTATAATTAATGATGACATTCTTTCCTTTGTCATGGATTTCCACCTCTGAAACAGCCGTGAGCACAGGCTCATAGCTCTTGGGTTGCCCTGGTCAGCTTGCGGACATTGCTGTGGTTTTAGTTATTGATACAATGTTGTCAGCCATGGCTACAAAGTAACAGTCTTGTCACTACGGGGTCACAGCACAGAGAGAGAGGAGGATGCTGGAGGGACAAAATAAAGGCCTCCTCCTCCCCAAACAAAAGAAAGCCAGGATGTGGCGTCTGCTCTAGCTCAGTGGTTCTGTGAAGGCCTCCTTAAAGGTGGGGAACTGACTTTATTAACTTATTTTCTAACAGTCATGAGTTATGATAGTACTTTAACCCCTAGACAGTGCCTTCAAAACAATCCTCTTTTTAGGGTCCTTTTCTGCAAACATCCCACAGAAGGGATGACTTCTCCTTGCACCCAGTGCCACCCAAAATGTTCAAGTCAAAAATATTTATACATTTTATACTGAGTTCTCTTTTTGTCTGCTAAAAATAGTATTGCAAATTTTGGCTTCTTTTGACATAAAAATCACAATCGTGTGCAAAACACTTGCAATGAGGCGACAGATGGGGACACACGCAGAGGCTAGTCAATCAGAATGCTTTAGATCCTGCATCCTTGTCCTTTTTTAGGAAAACAAAACAAAAGCAAACACCTTTGCCATTTTTGAAACACTTCGTATCAAGCCCTTCTTCCAGCAGCCCAGGCTGGGCAGGATGACATCATGCTGAACCACACAGCAGCAGCACCATTCCAAGCAGTGGGTAAAGCTGAGATGTCACGTGCTCACCAGTCCAATTTGGGATCCACAGCAGATTCTAACAGGGTCTTTCAAGTTGTCAGCTGGTTGGTGGGCCATGTGCCCTTCGCACTGAAGCTAAGAGTCACCATCTTTGGGGAACCTGAGCAGGGCACAACGGGCAGAGCAAGACAGGGGTAGCACTGGGCTCAGAAGTTCCTGCTTTTGAACCAGGTAGCACTAGGCACCCCACAGTCCCATGGAGGGGATAGGCCCTGCCAGCTGACCAGCCCTCACAGGCCCATTCTTCCGCCTTCCTCCCAGCTCTAAAACCACCACACAGCTAAATTGTCCTCGAGGCTAGCCCTGCAGTCACACCATGGAGGACTCTGAGCCTCGCCTTGATCGCCTTTCACACACCGCTGCATCCACATTCAAGGGCAACGTAAGACACCAAATCAGACATTAGCTGGAGCAACTGGTACAGAAAACAAGACAGAATTCAAGTACTGAGCCAGCCAGCCAGGCAGGCAGTCCCTCCAAGCTCACAGTATCAGCCCTGTCTCTGGTCCCTTGCCCTGGACCTGCTCTACTCATCCCAGCTGCCAGCTTGTCCCAGGGACTGTTGTCTGCTCTGGGAGGACAAAAGAATGGTGGCTGGACCCAGCCCCACCCCAGCAGATCCAACGTGATCCAGTCCCAACTGTCCTCATGGCAAAGATGCTGATGTAGCAATAGTTTCTACAATAGACTCTACATAGTATATGCATATTGCTAGTAGTCAAGCTAGGAACAGAGGTGCAGACATCTGACGAATACTGAGAGGCTCTCATCTATAGGGTCTGGACGAGTCAGGGTCACGTGGCAGGACAAGACAGCCCCGATTCTGGAATTAATCATTTTGTAAACAAAGGAGGGGAGTCTGGTTTTTTAAATTGGTTTTTCTTGGAAGAAAAATAATCAAAAGATGCTAAGGCACTCTGGAAGGCCCCTCGGAGCCCAGGCCTGCCACCCACCTGCCTCGCAGTACATTCAGGATGCAGAGGGAGTGCCCTCCCCCCAAGCAGGTACAGTCATTGGCCATGTATGTCTGCAAACGCTCCCCACCATGTCCACCATGGGACACATTAGTGCAAAACGCTCTGCCTGGCCCACCCGGGGCACAGGGAGAGCTCAGAATCCATTCACATTTAATTAATATTATTGAAGTTTTACCTATAGCTCTTGCCTTCCTTACCCAGAACAAAACAGATGGCAATTATAAACACTAAGGGACAGAGGTTGAGGACATTGTGCTAGCCCGAGCAGTGGTCAGGCATTCTGTGCGGCCACAGTCTCCTCTAATGGCCGGCGGCACCCTCCCTATGCTGACCCAAGGTGGGGACCAAGACCATCTTGGAGTGGAGGGATGAGAAAGAGCCCTTCTGACACCAACCAAAACAGGTGGGTCTGTCTCCCAAAGGTCCCTAAGGATGGTCAAATTAAAGTGCAAATTTGGGCGGGGGAAGCAGATCAAGGACTATTGCAGAGGGGAAGGGCACAGCCCCACCCCCCATCCTGCCATACCCTCCACAGTTCTATGGTCTTCTCCCAGCACCAGGAGGGTTTGGTCCAAGTCACTACCTAGGACTAAGATGGGAATGGAGGGGTGAGAGGTCCCTCTCTGGGCAGCCAGTTCCAGAGCTGGATAGTAGCAAGCTCTGTAGTCCTGGCCCTGGGAATGCAGGCCCTGGGTTACCAAGGAGCAGGGAGAGGGGCTCAGTTCAGCTCCCACAGTCATGATGCCCCTTTCCCTTTCTCAAACCACAGGTCTTTCAAAGGGGGCTGGGGAAGTAGTCAGCACAGTATGGGGGCTACCTAGGAAGCCCAGGGAAGTGCCAGCAAAAAGAGGGGACACAGAGGGAGTCTAAACTCAGGCTCTCCTACCACGGCCCTCCGAACGGGGAGAGACTGCCCAGCCTATGGGCACACAGGAAGGTTCTCGGGCAGCAAATTCAAGATGCATAGAGGGATAGGGAACATTAGACCTTTCACAGGTGGGCAGGCAGTCCATGGACAAGAGTCCAAGAAGAGACACCTGGGTAAGTGGCCTCAGGAGCATATTCCACACTTTAAGATGATGAAACACCAGTGTCAAGCCAGCCGGCTGTCCTCAAAGCCCCTTCTGCAGGTGCCCCCTCATAACTTTCTAACTTTCTGGTTCCCCAATGAGATCTACACCTGCTAACTACTCCAGCCCAGGCCTGTACCTGCCGCCAACCACACAGGTACCCACAGTGAGCAATAGGCCCACCCTGGTGGCCTGCTGGCCAGGCCCACAGGTGCCTAGCCTAGCTGCACACAGCCAGCTGCACTTTCCTGGGACCCCTCTGCCTCCAATGGGAGGCCAGGATGGGGGCTTATGGGCGTGTATTCACCCAAATCTGTGGTAGGCTAGGGCCAGGGACACTCCTCTCTCACTTTTTTTCTTTTTTTTTTTCTTTTTTTTTTTCTTTTTTGCTCTGTTGGGTCTGAAAGTTTCCAAACCACAAACGAAATAGATCTGAACCAAACAAAAACAGCAAACAAGTAAAATCCCAGAGTGGCTGGGGAGGCAGAGGGTGGTGAGGGCAGCCATGGCCAGGGGCAGAGAGACCCCAGGGAGTCAGCAGGCCAGCCGCTGGGGACGTGGGGTTAGCAGAGTGAGGACATAGGTATGGGGGGGGGGGGTTGCCTCATCCTTCCCCTCCCCCAGGTGACCAGCCACAGCCACTGCTGCAGGGCCATCACTTGTCTCTGTGTACACACATAATCATTCTCTCTCTCACACACACACACACATACACACACACACACACACACACACACACACACATGCGCGCACGCACACGCACACACAGGTGGCTTCTTGGGAGGAATGAAAAGGAGAAGTCTGGAGGCCCAGCACTCCTCTACTGCCCCAGTGGGGTCCTTATGGGTAAGAATGGAGTGTCGTGTCTACCCTTCCAGCCATAGGCCACGACTGCCCCAGCTTCTGCTTTCAGAGCAGGAGGAATAGGAAGGGTGGATGAGGCAGGGTCAGTGCCGTATATCAGGGACCTGGTGGCCTCTTCTACCTCCCCAAGAAGGGGGAGGGAGTACTACGGTGGGAGACTGAGCTGGGGAATATCAAAAAGTTGCCCTGGGACCTTTCTCCCAGGGTATGGCCGGCGGCCTAAATGTTTACAGTATAATGAATGCGTTTGTTTCCTTCATCCATTTTAAATACAGGCAGAATAAAAATCACATTTTTGTCAGGCAGCAGTAGCAGTTCAGTAGGTAAGTGGCTTGATCACATTTGTTTGTATTAGTAACGCATGCAAGCAGCTTTAGTACTCGGTGCCTTGTGAGTCGGCCTTGCTGGCCACTTACAAGGTCCCTGCATAGGTGCCCTCTGGCCTTCTTGTTGCTGTGGCCACTGGTGTCTGAGGCCTGCTGGAGCTGGCGTTGCCCTGCTCGAAGGCCTGAGGAGGGCTCTGGCCATCAGCAGGCAGCGGCTCAGGTGCAGCCACCTCCTGGATAACTGAGCCAGCCCCATCTACCTCCTCACTACCCTCAAAGGCAGTGTTGGCCGAGGTGCTCAGATCCACATTCACAGCATCAGTTCTCAGAGCCACGATGGTGGCTGCGTCACTTCGCCGCTCAGCATAGATGCGCTGCTCAAACACCTGCGAAGCAGCAGGTGGGAACTCGGGGTCCAGGGGCAGGCTGGCGGCGGAGGCACCCATGACGCTACGGTACATCTCCACACCCTCTGGCAGCATGGACTTGATCTTGGGCAGCCAGCGCTTGCGGACACGGCGGGCGTTGGTACACATGTCTGCAGCGATCACGTTCATCTCACTCTCCTTGAAGCTGGGGGCAAAGTTCTGACAGTACACTGCGGTGAGAGGTAGAAGTTGGAAGCGTAAGAATAAGCCTCTCCCCTCATTGCTTGGCCCCCGCTGCCCGGGCGCCCACAGAAACCAGGCGCAGAGGGCTGGGCTGTCTATAGTCTTTGCTGCTGCTGAGACCCCTTGATCTGAGATATGGCCCAGAAGTCGCTTTCTCCTTCCTCAGGCCAGGAGGCCCATGTGACTCTTTGGGATGGGGTCTATCACTGTAAGTTTAGTCAGACTGGGCACCCACCAGGTCTGGACCTGTGCCTAACCTCTCTGGCCTCACCTCCACCTAAGAAATGACACAGGTCAGAGGGTCCCCACATGATGAGAGTTGGCTTGCCAACACCCTCCCTGGTTTCAGACACAGCAAACAAAAAGGAGTGTGGGTATCCTAGCAACTTAACAAAACAAAACCCTCTTCTGTTTCCTACCAGGGGCTGGAAACCAAGGTCAGGCCCAGGTCCCCACAGAGCATCAACCCCGGAACAGGTTCCTACAAGCCCCACTTCGCTACCCTCCAGCATCTCTGGGTCCTCCTGTCCCTTCATTCCTCAGAACTGTAACTGCCCACTGCTAAGACCCCTCTTCTATAAAACAGAATTAATCTCACAAAGGGAATTTCTAAGATAAAAAAGATAGTTCTTGGGCTGGTGGCCGCCAGCAGCTGTGCTCTGGGCCAGTCTGTGTGTGTTGGGTGGCACAGCTTCCTCTGCATCTGAGGGTACAGGGCTGGGCGGTGGCTTGCCACAGAGATGGACTGGGCTCCGCCCCACCACGCAGGAGCGGGAGGCAGAAGCGGCCGAACAGATGGCAAAGGCTCAAAATAACCTCAACATGTAAATAAGGGGTTTTGTTCAAAAAGGAAAATTAGATCTATTTCACATATTAAAATAGTTTCGCAGCTGAATTCATCACACTTGGAAACCTACCAAGGACGTTAACACCTCGAGATGAGTTCTGCTTGCTGCTCTTTTCTCTCTCCTGGTCCCAGTGCTGCAGGTCAAAGCAAGCACTCAAAACAGGAGCCCATGGCCCAGAATGACCCTGGGGCTCAACTAAGCCTGCCTGGGGCTGGGATCTCAATTCCAGATGGGATTTCTAGAATTTCCCAGACCCACCCTACCCAGGTGACCCTGCGTCTACTCACGTTTCACAGCATTCAGTACTCGGCTGTCCAGTGGCTTTCGGCTTGGGTCACTGGTAGACGAGCGTATGCCAGTGCCACAGCTATTGGCCAGGGTGTTCCTGGAGGAGGGATGAGGAAAGGAGGCAGGGTTAGTCCAGAAGTGACCCAAGAAATAGGGCTCCCCATACACAAACCCAAATTCTCATGCCCACCAGTGTCTCCCCATGTCTTCTGAGTCTTGCCCAGTGTGGGTGGAAGGCCGAGTCTTCCTCTAAGAGATAGAATGCCCAGCTGAGTGGGCAACCTGAGTGACTGGGCCAGGAGGCTGACTAGCCCAGGCGTTATCCATGGGAAATCCTGAGCCATCTGAGTGAGCTGCTTTTCCTTGGAGAACGGGCCCTGTTGACCCATGCATGCACATGGTAATATACACATAGCTTTTCCCTTTCTTTGGGGGAGGGGTAAACAGCCAGTCTTTCTCTAGACTGGGCCCTAGCGTAAAAGTATATGCTCTTTCTGGAGGATCTCCAGGACACCAGATGTCCACATTAACATAAGGAAAAAGCGAAAGGCTATACAAGCTCAAGCCTTTGATGACCAGACAGCTAGCAGTTAGAGGTCACTCTGGAAGCTTCTGCAGTACCCTACACACCTACCTGTCAAAGAAGGTGGCCAGGAGCCTCCGTAGCAGGACCTTGTGCTTCACTCCTGCACACAGGTGGCAGTTCATGAGCTGCCCACGTGTGATGTAGACCCCAGAGCCTAAAGCCAGCAAACATCAATGTATGAGGTCTTTAGCCTTGTAAACCAAGCCAGGGATCATGCCTGCTAAGGGGATGGTAGGGCCAGAAAAGTCTGTAAGGGAGCGTAAGGAGAGGAAGCAAATGAAAAGGGCTGCAGGGGAGCCTATGCAGGGGTGGGGGTGAAGAGGGACCACTAGGACAGTCCCAGTTCTCACTTGCTGGAAGGTACTAAGATCAAGCCCTTCCCCACCATACTCCCATTCTCAACTGAAACCCAGCAGGGTTGGGGAAAGGCATGGCAAACCCCATACCTTCAATGTCTCCTAAACCCTCAGCTTCCTTTTTTGTTGTGAGGTCTGTTTGTACAGGATGAGACTACCTCAGCCCTTGCCGCCTCCTGGGGAACTTTCTGGAGCTAGCTCTGGCTTTGACTTTCCATCTTGTCCCTTCCCAGATACCAGAGGCCTTGGGCAGATGGAAGAGATAAACAGCGGTTTGCAGAGTCCTGCTGAGGCTTTCACTGTCCCAGCCAGCACTGGCCTCTCTACCCCATGTGTCCAAGGAAGATGTAGTGCAGGGAGGCCATTCTCAGCCATAGACCCCAAAGAAAGCTGGCAATATCCCCGGAGTCCCTGTACAGTGTGGGTGAGGAGAGGACAGAACCTATGAAGACTAGAGCAGCAAGACATCAGGGAGGCCCCTGTCTACACTTGCGTTGCTACAGCAAAGAGCCCATCACTTGACTCTGGAGGAAAGCACAGGCAGAAACAGTGAGCTGCACCTAAACTGTGGCTCTGGCTGTGCACTCCCACTTAAGTGGGTCTCCCTCATCTGATGTTTCGTTTAGTTTTTCAAGACAGCTTTTCCTCTGTGTAGCCCTGGCCACCCTGGGCTAGCTCTGTAGACCAGGCTAGCCTTTAACTCAGAGATCTGCCTGCCTTTGTCTGGGATTAAAGTGCTGGGATTAAAGGTGTGTGCCATTACCTTATTTCGTCTTATTTCTGGCAGAGCATGGACTAAATTTTGTTTCAAGACAAGCTCTCGCTATATAGTCTAGTCCAATTCTCAATTCCCCTGCCTCAACCTCCCAACCACTTGGTTATAAAGCGTGAACACCACACCTAGTTCTTAGAACTTCCCATGAGTCCTGTCTATTAAGTCTTAGCAACGGAAGAGACTAGGTGAGGACAGGAGCCTGCCCTTGCCTAAGGAACAATTCTACATCCTTGAAGGGCACCACAGCAGTAGGAGAGACTATCTCCAGCTCCTAGAGATTCCATTTTGCCCCAGGGCTTAGATGGAGTAGCCCCACCCCATACTACCCGGAAAGCTACACTCCTGCTACCTACCAAAGTTAGTGCGCAGTGGTTTCCAGGACAGGGGGACAATGGACAGAATCTGTACAGTTCCTGTTCTGCTGAGAGTGGACTCAAGGTGCTACCCAGGATGTCAGTAGAGGGTGTCAGATGGAACAGGAGAGGGTGGCTCAGGGAGGCTAAGATGCAGGGCTGAGGAACCTGTCCAGCTCACAGGGGCCTTCTCAAGCAAACAAAAGAAGCAATGAAAGACCAGGCATGGTGGCCCACACCTTTAAACCCATCACCCAGGAAACAGAGGCAAGAGGATCTCTGCGAGTTAGGGGTCTACATATCAAGTTCTAGGACAACCAGGGCTATAGAGAGAGACTTGTCTCAACCAAACAAGCAATTAAAGGAAACAATGTGAAAGCCAATGGGTGCCACTCACTTGGATCTTGCTGAATACTGCCTTACAAAATGCAAGGACCCAACACTAAAAGGATGATGTCCCTGAAAAGGTGCTGGCCCTGAGGGTTTCTGGACTCCACCCTAGACTGTGAGCTACAGTCCAGACACTACAACTGGACACTGGGGCGGGAAGGACACTGGTAAACTATGTGACTTGGTTCTATCTGTGACCTAAATTAGAATGCATCGTGGATATAGCCCTTGCCAATCAGAAGCCTGGCCAGCTCAGGGGACTCAATTAAAATGCTAAATTAATTCAATTGAATAACTCCCCTTAATGACACATTCTTCTAAGAGGAAATTTAAGATGTCCTTCTTTCTTTCTTTTTGACTGACTGGTGATGAGTGCACTGTTTATAGCTCTGAAAAATAACAAATAGGACATTTGCATACAGTTATGGGTGGGGCTGCCTCACCTGCTACAAGCTCCAGTTTCTCTCCGGGATCTCCCTCCGAGTAGAGCTTTGGGTGGCAGCGGTACCCAATCTGGCTGATGAGGCTGGCAGGGAGCGCCACCAGGTCTCGACGGATGAGGACGCAGGAGCGGCTCTCCAGGGGCACTGGCTCTGGCTTCTCTTGCACTGAGGCAAAAAGACTAACCCAATTAGACTGGAGTCTGTGGGTGAACCTGGGCCTCTCTGTGCCTGTCCACTACATTCCCCGAGGCCCAGGTTAGAAGCATTCCACATCACCCTGGGACTACGCTGGACTCATGGCAGCCAGCCCTTCACTCCACACATGCACTCCGTCCAGCTCATACCCAGTGCTGTCCCGCAGAGATGCCGGATAGCATGAATGAGAAGCCAGCCAGTGAGGAATGCCCGCCTAGGTCTGAGAAAAGGCTTCTCAGGGTGAGTGGTGTTTCGACCCGATGGGTTATGGGAAGGAGCACTGAAGGAGAGGCCAGAGAGCATGTGCTGAAGCAGGACACAGGACAGCCTGGCTAGAGACCTTAAAGCTGCAGATGAAGCTTGAACTCAGCAGCCTGCACCTTTTCAGAGTGTGAAGCTGCCAGCTCTGCTGTTAGGAAAACTCATGGATGGAAACAGATCAGGGTCCCAACTGGGGACCCAGGCTCTCCTCAAAGTGGTTTTATTCATGCAAGAGGTTACCAGATACGAGGGAATGAGCACGCTCGGGGAGGTGGCCCCTTGGACTGGTCTGGCCTGACACAGGAAGTCCTCCTAAATATCTGTCGGGAATAAAGCCAGGCATCTTTGCCTGGGAATGTTCTGGCAAAACACCGCTGGAACAGGCAGGTAGGTCTAAGAGTGCCTCAGTACCTGTAGCTCTGAGGCTGCTCCCATGACACCGGCCCTCAGTGGCAACCCACGGACATGAGTGTGTTGCACAGCTAGGCAGCATCAGCATCCAACAGGCAGGATGAACAGTTTCCTACAAGTCACAGAGGGCCTGGGCCAACACTCCTTAATAAGGACTACTTGCTAGGCATCTTATACACTACAGGACCAAGGAGGCCCTGCGGTCCTAAGCCCAATCCTGCACAGCCTTGTCTTGGTCCCTCCATTCTCCCACTGACTCTCCAGTCCCTTTTCCCAGGAGGTCTTGTAGTTGAGCTAGCCTTTCGGCTAATCCCATAGACAAGAGATTGGCAGTAACACATACAGCACTCCTCTCAGAGCCCACAAGTGTCACATCACTCCTTCCTGTGTTCCCAGCACACAGGTTAGGTCCCGAGAGGGCCAGAGCTTCCAGCCAACTGTCCCCAGCTGTGTGTGTTCCCATATATCTGTGTTTCTGTGTGCTTATGAATGTGTGTGTGTGTGTCTGTGTGTGTTTATGACTTATGTTTATCAGTAGGTATGAATGTGTCTGTGTGGTGCAGGTAGGACTTGGCCCTGGCAAAGTAGAATGTGTTGGCCCCACAGGTTTGGAGCCTGGGAGGCTTAATGCAGGTGGCTCAGACTGAGAGATAGTGCCCCAAGGCAGCTCCAAGATCAGATACAGGTGCACCTGATTGCTCCAGGTGGTCTAGTTTCCTGTCCCTTCCCACAGTCTGACTGCACAGTAGGGACCCCAAAACCCAACATCTGGTTCTGAAGTGACCACACACATGCTGAGGAACGGTGGATCACTGCAGGAGAATGCAAGAGAAATTTCAGTCCAGAAGATGGGGTAGAGAGCCTGTCTGCAGCTCCACCCTGTCCCATCATATGGGGCCACAGAGCAGGGTCTTCGGGGTACCTCAGACCCACTACTTTTTTGCTACAGCCCAGAATAAACACAACTGTCCCTGTGTATGAGGAAGACCTAGAATTGTTAGACATTCAACGAGGACAGAAGGCAGAAAAAAACAGAAGCCACCGAGATGTAGACCCTTGCCTGGTGCCAACCAACTGGTGGTCAGGCTGGCCAGGTGGCATTTCCCATCCAAGAAGGCAATGAAGAATCTTTACAGCCCGGAATTACCCAGAGACTGAGGGAACACATCAAACAATCCGGATGGTATTTTAAAACATAATTATCCGCCCCCCCTGCCCCGCCTGCTGTGATTACACATGCAAACGAGCATCGCCAACGCTGTGCGCCGTGCGTGGCATTTACATAAAGAGTGTTCACCAACAGAAATAATTCTCCATCTGAAGCCAGAGCTCTCTCGAGATGTTTTTCCCAACAGCAGAAGTTGTTTGCGTTCCACATGCACGCCCTCCCCAGCCTGGCTCCCCGAGAGAGAGCCGCAGACTGTCAGCCTAGAGCCCCAAAAAACCTCTTCTATTTCTGCCCTGCGAAGCACTGGATGCTGCCACCACTAAAAATACCCCGCATTGAGTGTTAGCTCATCTGCAAAGGTGCTCTAAGCTCCTTTGTGTGCCCCACCCCTTTCCCAGGTCCCTGTATCACAGGCCTGAGTAGCTAGCTTCAGTCACCACCCAGGCTACAGGGTTAAGGGAACTCCAGAGGGGGTTCCCTCCCAGATTCACTCCCAGAGGGGGCATTCCCCTCCGGTGGACCTCAGTGGGCCTTGCTGATATCAGGGCCTGTGCTTGTTCCAGGTGGGCCAGGAGTCCATTATCCCTATGCTCCACTCCCACCCCAACCCCAAGAGGACTTTGAGCTGAGGAGAGATCCTGTGATCACAAGACGTTCCCTGCCTCCTGGTCTCAGGTACCGGGAGACTTAAGTCTCCTATCATCCAGGACTGGTCCCAGTGGTATCAATGTCACTCTCACATTCCGAAGGCCAGGTGACAAGGCTCTGGTTTCCAGGACTGAGCATCCTGGGGAGAGAGCATGTGAGGCACAGTTAGCTGAGTCTATGGAGAGCTGACTAGCCACGGGCTGAAGTGGAGTCACTTCCCAGTCATGGTAGAAAGCCCTAGTATAGCAGCACCCCAGACACTCAGGCACGGATCGCCTCTCTCCAGGATCCCCTTTGGGTTACACCATGAAAGCAAACTGAATACTGTGGTCACATGATATGTGGGTTGCATTCCAGGGCTCTTAACATGGTCACCCAGGGAGCCAGCTAAGCTTTCTGAGGCCCAGTGGTGCCAAGTCTGGATGGTACACACACAGGGACCCAATTCTCTAAGAAGAGCTCAGTGCTGAGTGAGAGCCAAACACAGAAAGTTGAATTTCAGTTGTGTGAGGTTCCCAGGACAAACCACAGGGAACCAAGAAACAAAATATGGATATTGTGAGTGGGGAATCTGTCAGTTTGAGAAGATCTCAGAAAGTTTATGGATGGGAGGATAGTGACGGCTGAACAATGTGAATGTGCATAATGTCACTAAACTGCACACTGAAAATGACTGCAAAATATTACCTTATACTGTAAGTAAAAGCACATTTTAAAGGAGGAAGAGGTGGCTGGACGTGGTGGTTTATGCCCATAATCCTAGAACTTGGCACAGAAAGATCAGGAATTCAAGGTCATCCTCAGCTACACAGCAAGTATAAGGTCAGCTTCAAAAGACCATTAAAAAAAAAAAGCACTTTGGATGTAGCATGTTTAGCTGGGATAAAGGCCCTGGATGCCCTTGCCAGCACCAAAAGAAGGCAAGGGAGAATAGGAGAGAAGGAAGGGTGGATCCCACAGCATGCAGAAGGAAGGGTGGATCCCCCCCCACTTACCCATGGGATCGGCCCTCAGGAAGCTACTCAGCAGAGGCTCCCCTCTCCCTAGCCTCTCCTACCCTGTTCCACAAGTCCTTGGGACACACTCTCAGATGCAGCATGACAAGCCCACTGCTGGGAACCCAATCAAGAAACCTAGGCTGATGCAAACAGCTGCCAGTGGGAGTGGCCACTCAGCTCAGAGCTGCAGAGGCCAAACGTACATGCCACCCACCCAAAGTTCAGAATCAGAAAGCAAACCCTAGTTCTTAGTTATGAGTAGAAAAAAGGGGCCTGTGATGAGAGGAAAATGCCAACTCACACAGTGGAAGACTCCCTGTAATGCTGCAGTCAGCAAGACCACATGGGACAGACAGACAAGCAGCTGAAAACAGAGTTCCACAGGGCTCCACAGTGCATTGACGGCTTCTGACACTGTTGTGAGCCAGTTGGTACTCTCAGCCTTTTACAGTCACCCCAAACCTAAGCCAGGGCCACTCTCAACCGGCCCCTCATCCCTCCTGCAGAAGGGACCCAGGAGTCTTTTGGAAAAAAATAGTAGGGAAACTCTGCTCTTGGGTTAGGCTAAGAGTTTTGACATGATCCTTAAAACAAGCAGAAATGTGAGTTCTCCAAAATGAATACAAAACAAACACAGGGAAGCTACAGACTGGAAGAAAACACTCTCAAAACTCAACATTAAAAACAAACAAACAAAAGAAAAAAACACCAGCCAGGCATTGCAGCAAATGCTTTTAATTCCAGACCGAGGCAGCGGATCTCTGAGTTCGAGGCCAGCTTGGTCTACAGAGCAAGTAGAGAACAGCCAAAGCTGCACAGAGAAATTCTGTCTTGAAAAAAAAGGGGGGGGAGGATTGCTGGAGAGATGGCTCAGTGATTAAGAGGCAATGGTTGCTCTTCCAGAGATTCTAATACCCTGCTCACAACCATCTGTAATGTGATCTTCTGGTATTCAGGTATACATGCAGATAGAGCACTGTCTGTCTATCTGTCTATCTATCTGCCTGCCTATCTATCTATCTATCTATCTATCTATCTATCTATCTATCTATCTATCTATGCATATACATACATACAGACTGGACAGGGGGCCAGAGACAGGTGAATCTCTGTGAGTTTGAGGCCAGCCTGATCTACAGAATGAGCTCCAGGACAGCCAGGGCTATACAGAGAATGTCTGTCTCAAACAAACAAACAAAAAAAGCAAAACAAAACCTTGAGTGCTGGAGAGATGGCTCAGTAATGAACACACTTGCTGCTCTTCAAGAGGTCCTGAGTTCAATTCCCAGCACACACATGGAGGCTTACAAACAGCCGTAACTGTAGTCCCATGAATTCCAGTGCCTTTTCTGGTGTGCAGATGTGCACGAGACAAGAGTACCCATATACATAAATAAATAAATCTTTAAAAACAAAACAACCGAGCCCCAGTTTTAAAAAACGGGCAGATATGTAGAAGAATTTACAGATGAAAATCTGTACTG